CCCCGCCGGGAGAGCTGCCGGTGCCGGGGCCCGCCGGGGCGCGGGCCTTCCTGCCCCACGACTGCCACCGGGCGTGCCTGCCCTGCCGGCCGCTCACGGACGAGCAGCTCCGAGGCCAGGACCCGCTGGGCATCCCCGCCCTCTGCCACTTTCACAGGCTCTCCGCCAGGCGCACTCGGGGCCCGGGGGAAGGGGAGCCCACCTTCGACGTGTCCTACAGGGCCCCCTGCGGGAGGACCCTGAGGGGCTTCGGCGAGGTCGCGCGCTTCCTGCGGGAAGCGGAGTGCGACTTCCTGCACTTGGACTACTTCTCCTTCAGCCCCGCCGTGGAGGTCCGGCGGGGGCTGGCCCTGGGGGAGCCCCTGGTGTTCGAGAGGGACCTCAGCCGGGGCGCGGAGCTCGTGGCCGTCCAGCTCTACAACGACGCCGACGAGGCCAAGCCGGAGGCGTTCCGGTACAGGAAGGATCGATGGCCCTACGGCTGCTTCATTGGTGACCCCGGTGCCCTCTTTGTAGACTGCTGCGATTGCACTGACGGGTGCACAGACACGTGAGTGACCCCCGTCATCCTCCCCGCCCTGCGCGGTGGGGTACCTGTGGTGTCTAGAGATGATGAATGTCCAATAATCACATGGGGCTTTGCAAAGGTATTTATTCGGACTCGTTTGTGGGCCGTAATCTTAAAATACTCGTGACAGGGTTTCTGAAGCATTTTTTCTGTTTAAAAAGGGGCTCCTGCTCATGATAAATATGTATTTTCCTTTGTTGTATGAACTTTTACAGCTCCAGTCTAGTCAGAATATTGGTTTGTGTCCTATGGTTGGTAGAAAAGGACGTTGCTTCTTTCACTGCCAGAAGTTGCAGACTTCATTTTTTTAGACTCAGGGGTTTTTAGTTTTGGACTTGCAAGAATGTTGTGAATTATTTCATTTGAACTGTTAAAAAGAAGGCTTACAAAATGTTTTCTGATGAAAGTGCTTTTAGCGCTATTTTAAATCCAGTTTTCTATAGAAAAACAACAAAACAGTTGTTGTTGTTTTTTTCACTGAAACCATGCTGACTCTCATTTCTGACTGTAACTACTATACCTTTGACCAGCAGGTTTAGTTATTTTTTACTGTTCAGTTTTAACTTCTTGAGCTTAGATTGTGTTTTTCTTTTTCACAGGACTAAATGTGCCTGTCTGAAACTCTCTCTTAAAGCTAAAAATGGTGAAAAAGCTAAGACACAACTGTATACCAACAAAAGGCTTCTGCGGCCTATACCTTCAGGGTGAGTGAAGTGTTATTTATATAGGTAATCTGACTGCAGAGCAACTTTTCAAAAGAAAAAAATGTCTGCTCTGAGTTTTGCAGTCCTTCTGCATTCTATAGTTTTTTAAAATAAGACTGGTTCTCCCATCATGTCTTTACCCTTTGCGTGTTCAATAATTTTGGTTCAGTTTATATTCTGTGAAAATTTCTAGAATGTGCATAAAAGAGGAAGAAGCGGGAAAAGTGAAAGACACGTACCCCTAACTCCTTTCTTTTAACCGTTACGCTACTCAAAGTCTTTCAAAGAAATTTGACATTTTACCACCATGTTTAAGATTGAGCTGTCTAATATTGGGAAGGAGGTGCGGAATTAATTTTCGCTTCTGAACCGTCTTTTCTACACGTGCAGATCCAGATCCTGGATGTGTTTTTGCACATACAAGACCGCATTGTTATCAGACTCCCATAAAAGTCACACCAGGAAGTTCTTTTCCCCACCCCCCTCCCATCACGCGGACGGGTCCTGATATACCCGTCTGTGTATCAGGCATGTGTCTTTGTTGAGCGGAACGGCGCCTGACGTCCGTAACGCGTCTCCCGTGCCGACAGGATCTACGAGTGCGGACCCTGGTGCGCCTGCGACCGGAGACGGTGCCTGAACCGCGTGGTGCAGCACGGCCTGCGAGTGAAGTTGCAGGTGTTCAGGACGCTGGACCGCGGCTGGGGCGTTCGCTGCCTGCACGACCTCGACCAGGGCACCTTCGTCTGCACGTACGCAGGTAACGGGCTGGACCGCCACGCCTGCCGTGCGGGGGACACACTTCAGCCCCTGCGCCGACTCGGAATTGTCACCGATATTCACAGGAATGTGCCGCATTACAAAGCAGGGATAGACACCTAATCCTGTGAATGTCATCCTGCTCTTTCAGTGTGCTTAAGGCTTTTCGTTATCTTGCTTTAAAAGGACCGAGGATGACAGGGTTTTTTTTTGTGTGTGTGTAAATTGCTTGTTTAAAAGGTGAAAGCATTTAAATGTTATACCTTTCCTTTATATCACAAAGCGTGGCAAATCAGCTCCACACAAAATAAAGATGTTATTTCGAAGAAGCAGCTGAAATCTGCTACTGTGTATTTAAAAAAATGCAAACCACACTTACAGAAGCCTGTTATAAATCTTTGAAATGAGACATCATAAGACCAAGTCGAGTTCAAGGTGCCTTTGTTTGCTGTTTGACCTGGTGCAGTAAAGAGTAGGTTCTGGCTGCGTGCACAGTGACGTACCTTTGACATTCAGAGCGCTGTTCACTGTGGTCAACACATGACTTGCAGTGGGCTTTCAGCAGAGGTGACGAGCGTGCATGCTCTCAGCCTGGTAGCAGCTCAGAGCCTGCGGTTACGTTGGTGCCTACAGTTAAGACGCTGAGAAACGTACTGCTCCTGGGTGAGTAGGTGAGAGGCACTGTGGAGGGTGCAGTACTTGCTGAATGTGTTCAACAAGTTTAGCAAAGGTATAGAATCGATCGAATTCCTATTTGACAAGTTCCAGGGTGTCTTACAGGAGAGCACTGATAGGAGGAGCAGCTCCTATGCTGCACTGTCTACACTGCCCTAGTCTCTACGCTGTCTCGCTTCTTGCAGCAAGAGCGCGGGCACCCAGAAGTAAACCAGAAGTCACTGTCGCACCAAATGCTAAATCCCATCCAGCCCCGGCGGTGCTTGACCAGCGGTGGGGAGCTGTTCAGGGAATCCCAGTCATTGTCGGCTCAAGAACCGGCACAGACTTGGAGCAGCAGTGTCTGCACCACGGGGCCCTGCCTGTGCTCCGAACAGCAGGCCGGGCCTCCAGGGTATCAAGAGAACGGTCTGAGTGAACAATGACGGGGAATGCGAAGAGGTTTTAAAACCAGCGTCAGCTGAGGCTTTCTTAAGTTCCCACAAGCTACATTGCTTTGGCCAATTTCTTAGTCATCGCCTGTCGCCTAGACCTTCGGGGCGCGACGCGTACAGCGTCATTTTTATTCACACGACTACTGTACCTCCTCCGGCGCGACTAGGTAAAATCTTGAGGAAGGACCCCGCCCCCGGCAGCGGACCTGAGGCTATGAGGGGAAACGGGCAGGAAGAGGAGAGGAGAGACGCGCCCCAGTCTTCGGGGAAACGGAAGAGAGGAGAGCCGCCCTCGGACGACGACGTTGAAGTGGTAGAAGAAACGAGGGAGGAGCAGAGGGCCGCGGAGGACCCCTCCCTTCTCGGGAGCCTCAATGAGTGAGTTCCAGACCCCTCTCGTCTGTCTTGCCTAGAGACGAGTGAAACTGAGCTCGTCTACGTTGAAATACGATGTTCTGCTGCTGACTGCAAAACTCCGGTCTGTTTCTTTAGACGTATTAACGCTTCCAAGAAATATGTCAACCAGGTTTCCAATAATTCCAGCTGGTGTTAATGACATTATTTTATTCATCATTAAATTGTTTTAATTAATGCCTTTTTTTTGGGGGGGGGGGGAATCTGGAGCACCTCCGTAGTGTCATTAGAAACCCCTCCCACGGATCTCTGCCAGAGAGGCTCTGTGTGTCAAAATGCTCACCCAGAGCTCGAGTTGAGCTCTGTCATCCAGCAGCTGCAGGCTGGGGCCTGGGTCCTGACTCCAGGTGACAGTGACAGGGATCCTCCCATTGTTGGCACCTCTGGAGTAAGGCTGACTTTAGTTGACCAGGGCTCTTCTGGCAATAGATCTGCCCTTGAAATTTCCCAGGAGCCTCTAGGCTCGGGCTTGCAGTGACATCAGCATTCCAGTGGGCTCTAACCCTCCTGTAGGTCTCTGTGGACAAGGTGCATAACAATGGATGAGTGGGTGAGTAGGCTGTTCCCATCTGCCATCCCATCTGCTACTGAAGTCCTTGCTGTGAAGTATTTAGTAGTGCAAATATTGCAAGATGTAGGTAAAAATGAAAACAATCTAAATAAATGCTCTCCTTCTATTACACCCCAATGTTGTAGCTTTTAGGTAGTCTCACACATATATATTGGAGTTCAGTGTATATGAGTGAAGGGATGTGAATGGATACTTATTTGTCCCCGTGGCAGAATAATGAAACTGGAGCAAATGTACAGTTTCACATGACTGGATGTCAGCGGAATGCAGAACTGCATTTGTTTCACCGATATGACAGCTTTTACTAATGAGAGGCTTGGGTGCTGTTCTGTTCTTCTCCCAGGAAAAGTGCTCCTTGTGCCAAGCTGTCTCCCCAGAGCCCCGCGATCAGGAGGCCTGTGAGCAAGACGGCACTTCTGCACGTGCAGCTGGACAAGATGGTGAAAGAGGTGAGGAGCCGCAGGACTGGGCAGCGAAGGAAAAGCACCAGCAGCCTTGTCCTTTCCCTGGGCTTGAAAGGAATCACAGGAGTAAATCTTCAGTTGTTCACACGTTCTTCTTTCAAACGTTAAGAACCTGCAGCCAAGCACCCAGGACCTTCAGATAACTTAATTAACCACTCAGGGGTTCATTAACCACTCAATGTAAGTTAGTATGAGTTCTGATTTTGGAGGGCTTCCAGATTATAACGAAAGCAGTTCGTGGAAAGTTCTGTTTACAGAAAGACTTACTAGGCTGAATTGTAGCAGACAGCTGAAAATAGAACTGTTCAATAAGGGACTTATATTTGATGTTTTGGCATGGCGAAGGCACTAGATATAAGACCATTGTTGACAAGCTCATTTATATTAATCTGTTACAGTGCAGCTTCCTTATCCTTCCTTAGCACTTTGAGAAGCCACCTTTAAAGGCGCTATATAAAATAAAGTTTATTATTTTTATTATTATCCCTAAAGATATTTTATTGCTGAATAAAGATGAAATTGCTGAAAGTCTTCATGGACTGGCCAATTTTAAAAAAGATCCGATGAATTTATACATATCATTTATGAAAAATGATCAGCAAGAAACTCAAATTCAGAATTTCTCTGCATTTCAGAATTCATTTACAATCCCGTACAGCAGCTCAGATGAAGAAGACCTACGTGAGAAGTCGAAAGAGAGAGTCAGGATACCTGCTTCTGCAGAGACGACAGACTGGCCGCAGGTCAAAGCCCTTGCAGGTAGACCTAGCTTTGTGCTACTGCTTCTTGACTGGGTCAGCAGTGACTCTTCTGTGTTAACTGGGTGCTAATAGGAATTTTATTTCCTTCTTTTCTTCCTGTGAGCTGCATTGTTGCGAATGTGTTGTAAATATTGTATGTGCCTCCTCTGTTAAGGGAATCCATTAAACATGGATCAAGAAGAGGTGGACTCATAAAGCTCAGGGCCTTTTGCTGACTTTGGCTATAGAGTTATTCAGTGAAGCTGGTCTATGCACTCACAGTGTAGTTTTGTGAATAGAATGGTGAATAGCAGGGGTATGATTTTCAGCAATAACTTCAGAACAATGTGGAGCAGCCTGCAGAACATCAAAGCATTATTGGTACGTCGTCAGTATTCACTTTTCTACTTGCATGCTACATGGTTAATACTGTGCATCTGATGAGTCTAGTCTTTCTGTTAGAAAAAGGTCACAGGCATTGATGAAGGTTTTTCTCCCAAGGACATAGTGAGCTCATTAGATGTATTTGTTGACCTTTTCAACTTTGCCATGCTCCGAGAACGTTTGAACATATTGGATGAGAGATTCTGCACTTTTTTTCTTCCTCCTTTTATAAAAACAAGCTTGCACTAAATGAAAGAATTCCCAAAGAGGGCTCCGTGACCTGGGTTTCTGGTTTGAGATTCGGTGTTTTATCAGAACAGGCAGCTGAGGCGCTGGGTGTGCCGAACCGAGTGGAGGGAGGCGCTCTGAGGGGAGAAGACAGCAGGACTCCGCACCAGGCACAGAGTGAGGAGGAGGGGGATGTGAACTCATTAGGCACCTGGTCTGTGGGCGAAGACAGCAATGATGAAGGGATGCCAAGCAAAGCGAGAGCTGCCCAGAAGGTGGAGAAGGGCCAGAAAAACACGCACGAGTTTACCTATTATTTGGATGCCACAGAAGAAGGCAACGTGGGGAGGTTCCTTAATGTAAGTATTTAAAACGAAGATTTACTACCACCATATTCAAGTGGGTTTGCCTGACACAGGCCTGATCACTTAAAGGAATGCAGAGCATGAAATGCCAAAAGCTAATCTGTTTTGGGTTTCTTTGAGTTACCTTTTCATGAACGTTTCTGCCCAGTTGTTACGGGGGGGGGGGGGTCTGATCTTGTCTAAATAATTTGTGAAGTGCTTAATATGCAGTGTGTATGTATTTCAGACTGCACCGGTCTGAGTTTGGCCTGTTGTTGGTGGACTGTACCTGGAATTCTTTAGGCACTGTTAGCTGAGTGCCAGGGCTTCAGTCAGTCAGAGTATTAACTGTAGCTTTCCTGACATTTTTATACCATCTCTGATAGAGGTGTTGGAGAGCTTACTGTGTGTAGAAAAGCAGACATCTCAGCACATTCTAGAGGAAAGCTTGCTTAGAACAGGTATTGGAGCAGAAAATTGGCTTGATGGACAACTGGTTATCCCAAATTTGGGAACACAACAAAAGTGCTATAAACAAAACTGCTTCTTTTTGGTGAATGAGTGGCGGTTCCACCGCGAGACGAAATGTCGATTTCCAGATTCCTGTTCCCCTTCTAGCACAGCTGCTGCCCTAACCTCTTCGTCCAGAGCGTGTTTACGGACTCCCACAACAAGAACTTTCCCTGTGTGGCCTTCTTCACAAAGGGGTATGCTATCTATTCAGTGTCATCAATTTTTTTAATCGTTGTCACTTCAATGAACTATCTTTATTCTTAATGGTACTTGTTTATCGTGTCATTTTCCACGGTTTCTCGTACTCAAGTTTCAAACATTTTTTAGAAAAATGAACGTTTTAAAAAATATTTAACACTTGTCTGTCAGCTGATTAGATGTCTGATTGAAGACATTGTACCTAGAGCATTATTGAAGTGTTAAACCTTTGTGTGTGGCTTTAACACAGTCAGCAGCTTTTGCAGTGTTGGTGACTTGACACATAACTACCAAAGTGTAAATTTAAGGATTCAACTTAATACATTTTAAACATAGTTTGTCTTATGTTCCATTTTATATTTAACACAGGTGGGATTATTTGATTAGGTTTAGGTGTTGATAGATCTTTTGATATAGTTTTAATTTTTTGTTTTCCATACTTTTCCAGATTAAAAATATTATTGTGAAGAAGATTGCTTAAAGCACAGTGTTCACAACACTGTCAACATTTCCTTCTGTTCTGCCATTGGAAATACTTTGAGAAGCAGTGCTTTTTTTAGATCAAATGAATGACAAATGAGAAACGGGAGATTGTGCAGCATTTATTTTGTAGCATGGGAAATTGTGTAGCATATAATTTAATTTTCCAAGTTTTATTGAGCTAGATTTTGCATCAGGCTTGTTAACTCCGTTTTTGCATTTCTAGGTATGTGAAGGCTGGGACTGAATTAACATGGAACTACACGTGTAGGACTGGGAGCACACCAAACCAAGACAATCCATGTCAGTGTGAATTAAAAATGGGTCAAAACACACTCGCTTGACGAAACCCTGCTACCTGTGTTATATTTAAATACTGTATTACCTTATTGAAACAAAGTCCAAATGCTTGAAGTGTGAAATCCCACAACCTTGAATATTGGTAATGAATGGTAAATTAGCTAGGGCTAAAATGCATAAAACAGCCTTGGCTTTTATTCAAATCTCTACCTCAAACAGATAAACCTCTGGAAAAAGTCTTCACCTACCAAGCGCAAAACCAAGTGCTATTACATCCATACGTGTATTTTCTAACCATTTCATCCAATTCAGGGTCATGGGGGAGCCAGAATCCATCCTGACAAGCAGCAGGCACAAGGCAGGCTACACCCTGGATGAGACGCCAGTCCAGTCGAGGGCAGGCACAGACACAGGCAGGCACACACTCACGCCAGGCCCAGAACCTGGAAGAAAACACACGCAAATAGCACCGCAGGTCCAGAACTGAACCCAGTGCCCCGGCCCTGCGAGGTAGCAATGCGAACCACAGTGCCTCTGTGCCGCCCAGGTGCTATTACTGGCTTATTTCATTGTGTCGTTGTTCTAATTCAGTTTACGGATTAACCGCAGCACAGTGGCGCAGTGGTGAGCGCTGCTGTTTCACAGCTCTGGGATCCAGGGTTAAATTCGGGTGGAGTCTGGGGCACCTCCAGTTTCCATACTAACACATGCAGGTTAGCTTGGATTGGCTGCTCTGAAGTTTCCGTTTCCAGGGTTTGGAATGGGTTCAAGGGACTCTCAGCTATGGGACAAAAAGAGAAGTCGAATCCGACGAGCTTGATTTTGTCTGTTCTCACTATGCTCTGTGTAGAACTCTTAAAGCTTTTCTATCTTTCTGAAATGTATCTCAGATAATAGTACTAACCTTTGTGGGGATAAAATCTTTATCAAATGCTATATAAAAAGCTGTGCCCACTCTGGGCTTCGAACTGTATTGTATTGCCTTACTTTTAATATTTCAATTTTAAATGATTTTGTAAACGTATGTTAGCTAGAAGCAATCTGTTTTGAACAGTTTTCTGAACCAGAGTTTGCCAGAGGAAAGAGTATTTAAAAACTCAAGAATAGGACTTATAGTGGATACTATCGCTTATTTCAAGAAATAAACATTTGTGACTAACACAGTTGTTACAGTTGATACTGATGAAGCTCAGCGAAGTGGCAAATGAAATCTTCATGAGAAATATTGCTGTGGGGCACGGTTACAGCTGAGCAGATTTATATTTGCAAGGTGTTTAATAAACATTCGGGAGTTCAGGACTGTAATGCTATTAAAACTGTTTTTGTGTAAAGAACATGGGTCTGTATGAGAGTCTGTGTAATTTGGGTCACCACAAGATCAAAATGTACTACTATTCCTACTGGAAACTTGTAGCAAACTTTCTAAAATGTTTATCTAAAACCAAACATGAGTGTTTTGCATTTTGGTCATGTCATTACAGCACCCTGTAGTCAGATTGTAGTTAGTGTTTGGTATCACTGGTTTGTTTAATCTTATCAATTGCTAATTCAGTCACAAGTAAGAAATTAGAATGATATTACTAGGAAGATCTAGGCTGTGCTCCAGCACTATACAGCTGTGCAGGGAAATTAGTTTTAAATGAGGGGAGGTCACTTTAACATAGGTTTCTAGAAACCTAATCTCTGGCCATCCTCGAGCCTATCTGGAGGTTCACCCCTGTCAGGCATCTTGGACCCTCCTATCGAAAGGCAAGAAGTTCTCGCTGAAAAACCACAACACATGTCGCCACCTGCTCTAAACACAAGGGTTTTTGGCAAGATATCAAGGTATTGAAAACAACAACACTTTATTAACCCTTTACAATTTCTTGCATTAGGAATTATCTTTTCGCATACCCCAGCTCGCTCTCTATGAGGCATACAGACAGGGAGAGAGCCAGGGGTCAGAGCGCAGGGTCAGCTATTGTACAGTACCCCTGGAGCAATTGGGGTGAAGGGCCTTGCTCAGGAGCCCAACAGAGTAGGATTCCTCTGCTGGCTGTGGGATTTGAACCGGCAACCTTCCAGTCACAGGCACAGATCCTGAGCCACAGAGCCACCCCTCATGGTGTTAGTGTAGCACAGCTTTCAATGTTCATGATGAATCTGTAGGAAAGGCCCCAGACCAGACATCTTTAAAGTAGTTCAAGTAGGTAACGGCAAAGGAATAAGAGGGTTAAAAAGAAAATTACAGATGTCAAGCCTTCTTTGGGTGACACCTGAAGATTTTTAAAGGCTCAACACTCCTAGCAGAAGGATACAGAGAAATGGCCAAGTATTTCCAAGCCTGTTAAAATGCCTGAGCTTTGTTTTGGAGGTGCAAGAAAGACCAGTCAGAGACATGATGGCTGTAGATGTTTCGTGAGCGGGTCCGTTAGCACCGTATCGGAGCGACTCGGGCGGGAAGTGAACAGGACTACGCTCCTATTTGGATGCGGAGACCACTTTCTTTCAGAACTCCGTCCGCCAGCAAGAGAAACCATAAAAAAAAAACGTTTGAGTTTGAATGCGAGGGCAGCAATGGGTAGAGGCACACAGGTTAAGGTGGATACAGATCTTGGGAGAAACGGGGCTAAACTATTTACACGCCCAGGGTCAGCTAACGCCCACCCGGCTGACGCGCCGTCCACCCCCCGGCGGCGGTTCCCAACCTGCCCTGGGGCGCAGGTATCACCCAGGTGTGCGGCCGCTCAGGCGCCACCGTGTTGATAGCGCGTATATACAAACCCAAGGAAAGGGCGCTTCTCAGAGAAGCGCATAGTCCCTTCCGAAGAACAAGGCCATTGTATAACAAAAAATATTTATTCAGGTATAAAGTGCAATATCCACAAAATCAACGACAACATCCCATTTTAGAGCAGTCGAAATTGGAAGCAGGAGTTTCAAGCGCACACACACACAGAGATATAAAACCCAACAGAACTAGAACTCCTGCGACTGCAGGTCTTTCCCTCCGTCGTCGCGGGCGGACGCCTTGGTTTTCTTGGGAAGGAGCTGCGCCTGGATGTTGGGCAGGACACCCCCCTCGGCGATGGTCACCTCCCCCAGCAGCCTGTTCAGCTCCTCGTCGTTCCTCACGGCCAGCTGGATGTGCCTGGGCACGATCCTCTGCTTCTTGTTGTCCTTGGAGGCGTTGCCGGAGAGCTCCAACACCTCGGCCGTCAGGTACTCCAGCACCGCGGCCAGGTAGACGGGGGCCCCGGAGCCGATCCGGTGAGCGTAGTTCCCCCGTTTCAGCAGGCGGAGCAGCCGGCCCACCGGGAAGGTGAGGCCCGCCCGGGCTGAGCGGGTCTTGACCTCGGTCCTGACTTTGGAGGGCGCCTTCTTCCCACGGCCAGACATGCTGCTGGGCAGATGGGAGGACATGCTTAGCGGGCTCGGTTCCCTTCGGCAGCCGGTGTTGCATAGGTACTGAAACATCCGGCTTGAGCCAGTAAGTGCGTTAACATGCATGCGATTCGTTTATGAGGAAATCTAAAATATTCCACACGCTGCTTAAACCTCTATATCAAAGGTCAAGAGAAAAAAGAATTTATAAATCGCCTACCTTCTACCAAGATCTCACCAGAGCCCACAGAGGAAAAAAGACAAAAAAAAAATGTGTTATGGGGATGTGGGGGCTCTATGGCTTTTAAGCCATAGACGACGCCCCTCATTAAATTAATTGGCTAATATGTCACCTGTCTTGCTTGTTGCAATTATTAGTTACACTTTGTTAATTTAAAGGTTTGCGTGTACGGTCAAAGCCGAAGTTCATTCAACGCAGCTTGTGTGGGCTTCTCATTAGCGGAAACAACCAGCAACATTTTATTCTGTCTCAGGTGTGGTAAGATGAAGATAACGGACATGAATTTTTTTGAAAAAGTCTGCTAAATATAGGTAAGATCTCTGGTTAAACGAAGGTGTATTTGTTAAATTAAAACTTAAATTCTACTAATTGACCCCCGAGGCGTTGTCCGAGGATATAAATTAGTACAACATGTAAATTAATATAAATATACTGTATAAACACAATTAATCCGGTATTAACATGTTTTCAATATTTAATTAATTTTGAATTTGAGTGATTTTTCGAGCCAGGTTGTTATAGACTACAATGGCTCCTATTTCAGTGAGATATAAGCCGAAAAAGAAGTTTGTCCAATATTTGTACTCCAAACGTTTAATTTGTTGGCGTATAAAAAAACAAATACTTGTCACCGTTCTGGTCAACAGAAGAGATCAAGCAATATAAACAAAAGAGGGAACCTAAAACCGAAGAAATAAACGAGATTTTTTTGATGAGTGAGTTAGAAACTGAAATTGTATGTCTCTCGAGTGAATAACGTTGGGTTTGTTTTTTAAAGTGAAACATGAAGAGAGCGGATAAAAACTCCCATCAGTTACAGTTGTAAAATCGTCAAATTCGCTTCTTGTATGGACAATCACTTTCCTAATGTACCATCTGCACCGTTTTATGTATGTCTCAGGACAGGCGTATTCTAGAGGCACATATCAGGGATTAGCATGCATGAGGGAAATGTTTTTGTATTCGTTTGGACCGAGTTTAGAACAGTTGCCAGATACTTTCTCGTACTAATTATTCTGATATTTTTTGTTTTTTAAAAAAGGGCGTTTTTATACTTTCGGTAGGATGACGAAAAGGAAAGCCACAAATTAAAAACGAAAAATTAAAAAAACAAAATCATGTTCTGTGGCTTTTGTCGCCAGATGTCAGAAATAAGTCCGCATTGATGATGATGACAATTTTATTATTTCTCCAGCTCTCGCGACTCCCGACGGCACGGGCCGCTGTCCCGGTCATGTGACCGCAGCCCAGGCGGTCATGTGACCGCGGCCGATAAACAGCCAGCCCACCGGGCAAAGCCGAGGCCAGATTCACGTCAACTTTCTCCAGCGCCAGCGGAGTGAGAAGGGGGTACAACATGACGCCGCTGGGGAAATGGGTAATCGTGTTCCTGCTCTTCCCGTGCGCTGCCCGCAGCATCCCCCCCCACGACGATGTCGCCGCCGTGGCCCGGTTTATCGCCCATAACTGCGACTGGGCGTCGATGGCCACCATCTCATCTCACGACCCGGTGAAGGGGCAGCCGTTCTCCAACGTGTTCTCGGTCAGCGACGGGCCGCCCGGCAGCGGCACAGGCGTCCCTTACATGTACCTGACGCGCATGGAGATCTCCGTGCAGGATCTGCAGGTAACGCTCGTCTAACGCGTTCACTGTCCTGTGGTTTAAATGAGGTGTAGCCGGAGTGACTTCACTGTGCAGGCTGAAATGATAATCACATGTTCATGATCTGAATCTCCTTCGCTTCTTTCTTATTTGTCTGACTACATTTTTGTTAGTAGGTCTAGTACCTTTTGTATAAATATTTGCCGTCTAGATAGGACGCATAAGATGTAAACTCTGCACTTTATTACCTTTACGATTCGGTATGAATTGGAAAATCATATTTGGGATAGTTTTGCATGTACTGAACAGGGAGAGTATAGCTCATTTACCCTAGTAAAGGAGGTGTAAAACTGAACCGAATCTCCTGGCAATGTGAGATAAAAGGAACTGCGCAAATATCTTAAATGACTCAGCTGTTTTTTTAACTGACTTCTGTTTGCTCTCCTTACCAGTGAGCAAGCAGTTTTCCACCAAAGCATGTGATGAACGATGAGTTGTTGTTTTTTTTTAATGACTTGATTAGATGTTTCAGACTTGACTTTTTTCACTTCTCTCTTACGGAAGTAAAAGCGCTGACTGTCTTTAATGACAACATGAGCGAAAATATCCCACCCAGGCCTAAATGTCTTTATTACTTGTGTGACTGATGCAGTAAAGTAATAGGGCTTTATTGCAGAATGTCCATATTATGATACCTTTGTAAGAGTAAACCTAGTAAATATGTAGTTGAAGTAGGTCGCTGTGTCAGCATGCATAGGCTGCAAAGGAACAAGTAAAGGTTTATTCCCTGCTGAAAAGAGAAGAAAAGAAACGCATCGTTTCTGTTGTGGAGCCTGATGCGTTTCTTTTCTTCTAGTATATATGTGTGTTGTATAGAGTTCCTTTCCTGTACCATCTTAAGAATGTGGTCTACATCATTCAGACCTACTGCTTACTATACAACCAGACAGGCACATATCACATTATGGTTTCAAAGTGTCAGCCTATTGAGCTGACATAAGGTAAGTGGCATCCTACCAATTGCACAGAGGGGGCTGGTGCTGTGGTATACTCATATAGCGAGCTGAGAGCCCAGGGTCTGTCAGTGCGCAGACGAGCAGTTAGGTGGTCAAGACAATAGTTAAACTGAGATTGGAAGGTGCTCTGAGGTAAGCACCCTTCCTTGGCTTGTGTGTAACGCTCAGTGACCATGCTTGCCAACAGAAAACATTTCCTAATGGTCTACAAATACCTTGGCAACAGGGAAACATTTCTGAAATCTACGTAACCTTTTGTCCATTGTACTTATGCCCTAGCTTGTTGTATGTGTTCATGTTTTAATGAAGTCAGTTAATTACCTCATTGTGAGCTTACTGTTATCTGTGGATTGCTTCTAATGCCTGTGCACAGGTGTTCATGTTACTACCCTGTCTTATCTCGAATTCTTGATTGACCGACGACAACAAGGAAACGTTCATCATTTAGCAAAGCTGTCGGCGTCTTGATTGAAATGGGTTTCTGGCTTTTGTTCTTATACAGTGTGTGACTCCTGCAAACTCGGACTGTGCAGCTTTCCCTGTCAAATGCTTTTAGAAACATAATGAATATGTTAAGTGATAAAGATGTTTCTTGTTATTTTGTTTATGATATACAGTAGAGGCAGTGTTATTCACTGCCCAACGTGGGGCATGGCACTCCCTTGTTCTGGAGTTTTATAGTATAATTGTGCCTGTGGTTGAAATAATCTGATCAGAAAACCCTTCCTTAGTGTGTTTTGGAAAGAAATAAGCCCCTTCTATTACACAACGATACTGTATAGTATAAGTTGTAGAATTGATATGTGTATATAAGTGTAAGAGGGTATAAGTGGAAATTTGGGCTCCCGTTAAAAAACCAAGAGCACATTTGGAATAAACGCCTGTAGACACGGGGTTCAAGAGGGCCGGGATGGGGGGAGCCCCTAACGCTTGTTTCATTGTGCTGCAGGCGAACCCCACGGCCTCCCTCTCCATGTCCCTGGCCCAGACCGAGTACTGCAAGAGCCAGGGCTACGACCCCCAGAGCCCGCTGTGCGCTCACATCATCTTGTCTGGGTCCGTGGTGGAGGTACACTCATGCGCCATCTCTCCTCCTGACCAGCCAGCCTCCCGTTCTGCTGTCTCACCCCGCAGAGCGGAGGCCCAGGGGTGTTATTCATGACTGGGGACAAGTGGGTAGAAGTATCCTCTTTTTATTCAAGGGGAACTGCAACACTATTTTTATATTTCGGGGGTTAGAAAGAACCCACAGTGAAAGTACATTGTACCCTGTAACTTGTAAAACCTCCAATTTACATGGTGCAGCAGACAACATTTCCGGGTTTGCACAGCGCCAGGTTCTGCGATTCAGAACGAGGCAGCAAAACGTCTGGTGACGTGAATCGGCCCTATTACCTTGTAACCAAACAGGCTTGTGAAAACATTTCTTTTAATCCAATAGAAATATTGCTTTCAATTTTGAGACCGTTGTGGTGACAAATTCTGTTTACTTGTGGGCTCTGCACGCAGATCACGTTGGAACATTTCTGCAGTGAAACGTGTGCTGCGCAACCTGTCTCGTGCATCACAGTACATCAGTCATCACGTAGACTAGTGAGCAGGAAGGGCCACCTTGCGTCACAATTCGTGGGAACTTTCACAATGTTCACAATTTTTCTGCCCAGTTCGAAATGTATTAATTCTGTAACGTCGATGCATTTATTTTGTTACTGAGATTTAATAACTCATCTCAGAATTTGGGACTGCAGTTCCCCTCTAAATGTTAATTGGAGTACAACACTCAGTGACATAGAGTCCCCAAAAAGCCTTCTTATGAACAACATAAACGCAAGTCAACAGTATGTTTTTTTTTTGTTAACAACATTCTTATTCGTTTGAGAAAAAAGATGTTTGAATTAATTTTCACCCCGAAGAGCTGTGGTGGGGGTAAGGATACCTAGATGTGGCTCAGCCCTTAGGTAGCTGCACAGAGGTAACTGTGATGGAAAGCTGTTCTCCTGTGGTGTAGGTGAACGACACAGAGGCCCTGGTTGCTAAGCAGGCCCTGTTCAGCCGTCACCCGGAGATGATGGACTGGCCCCCAGACCACGGGTGGTTTTTTGCCAAGATGAACATCACGAAAGTCTGGGTGCTGGATTACTTTGGAGGAATCAAAACTTGCACTCCTGAGGAGTATTTCAGTGCCAAGCCATACAAAACGCCTGGGCTGTAAGTTTTTTTTTTTTTAAACTGGATTTACAGATCTTGATTGTTCACACTTTTCCTCCATAGTGTGAGGGAATTTTGAGGAGCAATAAAGTGACCACATTTCTCATGGCTTTGTTTGCAAGGAGAGAGAGTATTCAGTTTCGAAAGAGATGATAAATGTTGGAAATTGAAAACGCTGTTGAAGATGTATGTAGAGCAGAATGTGTTAAGACTGGATAAAACTGAAATATTCTTTTTTACTGTACAATCCTGGTAGAAATCTTTCCAATATGTTTTGAATGCCCATTCAATTTCTTTTATTTTAGGAGAACAACATGGCTCTGAAAGGATTACAAAGGATTGAGAACAGAAGAGTCAGTCCTTCTATTTTTAAAGGCTGCACTGTGTAATTGTGTACTAATATATGAGAAGTGTTTTGAGTAATACAGTTGATGATTTTATTATGTGTTAAAGGATTGCAGATTAAAATTAATTAAGGATACTTTTTTGCTATTGATGCTTGTGAGTGAATTGCAGTAAATTATAATAATATTAGCTAACAATACATTACTCAACAACATGCTTAGGTGAGAAATAACTTTTCTACTCTTTCAACTCTTTAATCATCAAAGCAGTGTTTTCTGTATTGCTACATTAATAATGCAGTTTATGCAGAAATTACTGAACTGTAATATTAAATATTAAGTTTTAAAATCCGCAAAATCACAAAGTTCTAATGATCTGTCTCCTTAAAACGCAGTCTTGTACTGTATTAGTCCAGTATCTTTCCTTTTCGTTCATGTTGTATTTTACCACTAGAGGGAGCCCTTTACGTGTTTACGATTTAGAAATGGCTCTGAATATTTACCGTAGTGTATTTACACGAAATAAAATTGAGTGTCTCTAGAGTAACGGCTTTCACTAGATCGAATTCATAATATATACTGAGATGCCTTGAAAATGCAACAAATGCCTGTTTCTCCCATACCGATTTTTTGCATTTAAGATTAATTTTGCCTCTCGGTATAATTAGTCCTGATTTGGTTATCTTTTATACAAACTGCGGAGAAGTCATTTTTGATACATATCTATAATTTCCGGCTGTGAAAAGGGAAAGTGTTTTTTTTTTAATTTTGAATGAAAGAAACTCTCTCTTTGATGTCAAGGTCTCTCTTTTCGGTCATATTTCAAACCATACAGTCAAGCTTCCCACGTTCTGAATAAAGAGACCTTTTCTGAAATTCTCACCCACACTCCCAGCCCACATTATAAAACAGACGTCTTTCAGCTTCTATAGGTCCTTACTTTAACTAATCTGATGTCACGTAGCAGATGTTGTCTAAAACGTGCAATTGCTGACAAAGTACTGAATATAGAGCAATAATTTTAGATCTCATGCAGGGCAGTTTTAGGTCAAGCAGGTTGCTGTAAGGCTTTGTTACATCAGGTGTTCATATTGTCACAAGAGTCCCTGTCTCTCTCCTCGCCGAACGCGCTACAGTATCATACCCCAGACTTGAGGTCACATTTATCAAATCCACACAAAAACTGCTTGGAATGTTGATTCATTCCCATGTTTTTTCAGGAGATCAAATAACTAGATAACTGGCTTCAGGTGCTAAGTAAGTTATCTATAAATGTTGTTTTCTATTCAAGTTTTCCATTTTCAAGCTTTATATTCAAGTTTGTGGTCTGTGACTTCGATGTGTAGTGCATTTGTATGTAAGATGATTTTTCTAAAGCAAAGATATATTTCACAATGATTACTCCACATATTTTTGTAAAAATACTGAAAATAAAAATTTGTCATTTGTATATTTTAAACATTTACTGTCATTGTGTGCTTTTTCTTCTTTATAATGTTTTTTGCTTTTAACCACCAGGTGATACTCTGAGGTGGGGGATATTGCTTAGTGCCTTATAAGAACTGGAGCACAGGCGTGATTACGATCAATTTCAACACTTAGGGACTTAACATCAAGAAAGCCCCTCATATCACACCAGCTCGTAATCCTGATGCTGTTCAAACTTTCACCTAGCAAACACTGAAAATGCATGTTGCATATGTTCATCTTCTTCTCCGGATATACGAAAAAATCGGCAGACATCAAGACGGTCCTTGAAGACAGATTCTGCTTTTATGTTTGTGGCCACATTAGAAAGGTGATACAGTAAAGCGTAATCTTGCAGTTTTGTAGTTTTACCTAACAGCAGCAGAACAGTTCCTAGATACACCGATATGAGTGAAAGACGGGGTCCATCAGTGTCAGTTTGCCTGTCGGTGTTTAAGTGTTGGTAGGTATTTACAGGACTGCAGAGAGCAGCTGGCACAGCTAACTAATGGAATCTGGTCTTTATGCATGTATGAGCAAACACTAAAGAAGTATGAATTAAGGAATATCTAAAAAGCTTGTATCATGCTTTGGCAGTAGTGTAGTTGTCATGTCTCCCAAAGTGTGAATGGCTTACTCTCCCCGTTCTGAAAAGCTTTATTAACAACACGCAAATGTTTGATGTACAATTAACCTTGCAAGCGTGCAAGTTTTCCTTTCTTCAGAAGTTTTTTTTTTTTAAGTGGAAACAGAAGTCTGGTTACTGCTTCATCTCGGACTTGAGTATTCTTGAGAGCTGGACCTTTTTTAAACAACCTTTAACTGAAACACTGTAAACCGAATGAAGGAGGGTTGGCGAGAAATGAATATTCATGGGGTTTAGAATCCTTTGAAGAAAAGGAAGCCTGGACCCTTTGAGTTCATTGTCGGCAGTCGATCTTTGATCACCACAAGTCCCAGCCCACTGTCAAATTAGTCAGCCACCTCCTGTCTTTGATGCCACACTTGCTGAAGTGTAGCATTCACTGGAGGCAGCGTGGCCTAACGGTTCACAGTCAACAGATCCTGTCTTGATAAAGGTATGCAGTGGAAGGGGCTGGTCTTTGTTTTCTGATATCATACGAGAGAATGTATCGTGTATAATTCTGTGAATGACGCAAATCTCTTGTTGGAAAGCTTTTCTCGGTAGGGAAAAAAAGGTATTTGAATTCAAAGGCTAAAAACATAATTGACAGCATATTAGAGGTCAAGATACTGCAGTGTAGGCCAATTTGGACTCCGATTGCTTTAAATTCATGTCCTGGGGGACAAGAAACTGGATTATTGTTTTTATTCTAGTAGAGTCATGAAAACGTACCGTTTTTGTGACAGTTTCTAGCCAGCCAGTCTTACTGACCTGTGGTGCTCTTTAAACTCCAGAGTAGATGCTGTGGTTGAAGGTAAAAGCTTCACTCCATCACTTCCTGTGCCTGGCCTGTTATCTCAGAGCATCTGAACACACAAGTTCAGCAGATAGCAGACTGTACCAAATTAATTTCACTGGTGCTGTACTCAACTATTAACTGAGCTTGTGTGTTCAATGATTTCAGCCTCACGCTGGCAGGAATAAAGAGTGTTTGGATGTGGCGTTGCTCCTGACAATTTAGTGTCCCTAAATTGCTCTGTGTAGAGCCCCTGTGTGGCCCCCAGCACTGCGAGCTGTTTGCAAGGGAGCTCCAGGGTGAAAATGCCATCTCTGGTGGTTTAGCTCTGAGGTGAACCAGGAGGATCTGTGCTTCTGTGTGCCTTTTTAATCTGCTGGTTTCGGATGAGTGGGGCAGCTGCCTTTCGGTTTCAAATTCTGCTTTCAGGGCAGAGAAAATGAGTTGATTTCCTCCCCACGCCAGCTCCTAATGCCTTTATGTGTCATGCGACAAAACAGGTGTCGATTAGTTTTACTACACAGTATTCCTTCCTGATAAAGTGCAGTCAGTCTTTCGACCTGTCAAAAGTTTTAGCCCACAGCCTCTGTTTAAAGCAGTGCCCGAGCCTGCTGAGTTTAAGTGATTTATGTTTGACACTGGTAGTAGTAATCCGCTGTCCTGGAACCTGTCCTGGCAAGCAGAAAGCGCAAGGCAGGCTTCATCTCAGACGGGACACCCCTCCTTCGCGGGGCAGACGCACACTCACACCAGGGCCGATTTTCCCAGAAGCCACTTGCACCGCCGGTATGTCTAGGGAGAGTGGGTGGAAACTGGAGAGCTTGGAGGAAACCCACACAAACATGGGGAGAACATACAGACTCCACACAGACAGCCCTCCAGGAAGTGATCCCAGGGCCCCAGCTCAGCAGGTCAGCAGTGCTCACCACTGTGCCACTCATGTTTGCATTCAGGCTAAATAAGAGAGATGGTTGTTTAGAGGACTGGATGTTCTGTATGAAATTTAAATTGCATTTATAACGTACTGTTTCTCTTACAGGTAATCACCTTGGATTAGGGTGCAAGGGTAATTTGAAATGGTAAAACAATGCTAGAAGATATTCCAATGACATACGTTTTACCTGCAACTCCTACTTTTAATTTGGAATTACAGTACATCACAGATGGCATCTTGAGTCCCTTGAAGTCCATGCATATGTACCTATACATGAAGCAGAGAATGCCCAGGGTAATACAGTATATACAGCCATAATATAAAAGATCTGTTCCTTCCCTTCTCTCTCAAACATATGTATGCATCACATATGTTTGTAAATAAGTTAGGTTTCACAGGAGACAGCTTTGACATGATAAAGTTGTTATAGATGTATCTTATTACTCATAATTTACAGTGTACAGTACTGTTCACAGGTTTTAAAGTATCTGCTAATGTTGCAGGAAACTAAGCAGGAAAACTAATTTATCTTAGTACTATTGATAAAATATGGTTAACGATGTACTATCTACATCATGTCTTTTAATGATACTTTTTAGAGTGACATTTTTGCCCATAGATAAAAAATGGCTAGCCTTACTTATGTACAATGAAATATTTGAATAAATACTATTTTAAAATAGTATTTAATGAAAATATTAACACGTTACTAGTGTACTTTGTCTAAATACTTGAACATCAACCCAGAGCTTAAACAATGATAATTAAATACTATTAACCATTAGAGAAGAAACTACAGTGTCAGAAAATAGATCCACTACAATCATTAGGTTCCCTGCTATTATCAAGAGTAGTGGTGTTTTCTAGTTTTGGTCTGCTCAGTCTCTGTTGCATAATTGGTCCAATTATTTAGTCACCTGTGTTCATGCATTAATTTCTACCAGGTTCCCAAGTGTCTCATACAGTGTGTGTTCCCTCATGGAGGTCAACATTTGAATAATCAGTTGTAAAGAACCTTAAGAAAAATGATCTAAACATCTTTAGAATATAATTTAGTCAATTGCTGACCCGACTACCGAGGTTTGGAATGAAAAGCAGCAGACACAAGACCCCCAGGGACCAGTTCTAGCCTGAAAGAAGCTGGACAGCAGCACAGGACTGTAGCTAATAAAGCCATGAGCAGCTGCAGAGTTACCGATGCTTCTGTACTGCTAATAACCAAAGCAGAGACCGCAAGGAACAGGAACACCAGAGAGCTCCACAGAGCGAGCACCTCGTCACCTATCGTTCACCGATAATTGGTGCACCACTAGCAAAACAGTACGAATCTGAAAAAAGGGGTACTTTAAACATGAAAGAGTGCACATACACTCCTAGAGCATATCGCCTACAGGAGACCTTGAAAGCATGCAGACACACACACGATGAGTGTACCGGTGTGCGTAGCACACCCTCTACTACCAAACCAGGCCCTTATAACTGAGGAGCTCGTGCACTCCAAACCTGTGTCACTATACCTCCATGAGCACACAGCTCCCTGAAGACAGACAAGAGACAAGATGGATGACATGGTGCCTCAGACGGAACAGCAGTGACCAGAAATAAAATGTTACTCGTCCTCCAGCAAAGAGCAACTCTACGCACAGTAATTCAGAGGTCATAACACACCAAACCTCTGCTTTACGAGAGAGAAAACAAAGCTCCAGGCCTTGAAAATATCTTGCCTGATAGACGGGTATATTCCGGGATGAGCCAGGCTCTCTCTCTTGAAGACAAAACATGCAATTGTTTGCCTAATTGCTAAATATCAGTTTTATTGCAAATGAGTTTTAATCTGTGTTAGGCCTACTTTATTACATACTGTACCCTGATTTAGTACCCCGTATGAGTTGGAATTTGTTCTAAGGTCTGCAGTGCATGCCCTCCAAATCACATTTATTATTCATTTTGATAGCAATGAACTTTTTTTCAAATGAATTGAGAGCTCATTCTTTGCTGATTATTTCCAATTTGCTGAAAAAAACTGCTTCAAACTGTTTATAGACCCATTAACTAAAAACGTTTAGTTGTGAAGGTTCTCCTGTTCTCTTTCTGTATGTACTGTTTTAAAATTGTCATCCCTATACTAAGTCCAAAAGGTAATAGATTAATAGATCAAGGTATAAAATAGAATTCAAGACAAAAGAAGACTAAGCTATTTTGTTAATTGAGGGCAAGTGGGTCCTTGTATTTCTACAACAACTGACATGGAAAGTAAACGTTACTTTAAAAAGAAAATTCTTCTTGCTGGAAATCGATGTTGCATGTTGTGTAAAAGCTTTAGTTCGCTGACTGTGTGCATCTCGCACGTCTGATAAGAAAATCGTGATCTGTCAAATTTAATTTTGAAGAATCAATTGCCTGTTTGCGGAAAATATGACATTTTCTGTCTGTGTAGTGTATTTAAATTATTATTTAATATAGACGGTTGTAAAGCTATGAAAATCCATAGACCTGTTTGTTTGTTCGTTAAGATAAACCATGTTACTGTATTCGACAATGTTAAGTCCTGGTACGATATCGTTCACGGCGAGCATAAAACTTCTGAATGTGAGCTTTTTTTAGGGTTGATGCTAATGATAAATTGCAATATGTCTAAAATAAAACAAGGCTTTTTTTTTAAAGTCATCATAAGAGTCCGTCATATTTTTGTAAAAAAGTAGCCCGTTTCAACTTGTGTTGAAACAATACACTATTACAAAGATGCCCTGCTTCTGTCAGTGTCTGTCTTTCTGCCTAAGCGCTCTGGTTATCTAAAGTATGTGCAGCTTTCTCTTAATTATTTGCTCTGAAAAAAGCCTGCATTTTGTGCCTTTATTTTCTACAGTTAGATTCCAAATATGTACTAATTTGTGCGTTACTGCTATGCGTGATTAGCATTTGGATTTTAAAGGGCGAAAATATATAAATTATTTCAAACAATTATATTAAATTTTAATCAGGATAGTCTTGGCTAAAAAATAAGTTTAGAGTAGATATGGGTAAAATTTTTAATTGAAAGATCTGGTCTACACGACACACTTAAAATTTGCCTGCAGATGTTTCTATTAACCTGATCGATGATTCATTTTTAATTAGAACTTTATTAACCTTGGATGTCATGCAATAAACATTATTTGAATTAATATTCTTTCAAGCTTCAGTAATTTTGTATTTAATTGACTTAATTCCTCATTTATTCTTGAAATACTGTATGACTGCATTTAATACTGTACATAGACATTGTTTGCGTTTCTATGATATGAATGGTACTCAAGTGTAAAACTCTTTTTATTACAAAAGTATGCTTAGTTACATTTACCAAATTTATATTTGTATTTTCTTTAACACACATACTTTGCGGGTATTTTTAGCTATTTGTAGTTACTGAGGTACTTTATGAAGAATAAATTTAGTATAACAACTCTAGGAGGATTTGTTGACCTCCAAGTAAAAAAAAAAACAGTGTTGTCAGTGTTACAGTTCAGTGCAGTGTTATGGTACAAAAACAGCATGTTTAGTCTTAAACAAAAAGACTTTCATACTTTTTGAATTTCTTTTGTTTAGAGTTACAAACCTGCAAACATTTTTACTGAGTTTTTAAAATAATCTACAGGAAAAGATAAAGTAAGCCACATCCTCAAACAATTATACATACTGTACCTTTTAAAAAAAAAAATCTGGTAATCTGATAATATAAATTATTGCTTTCCAGACTTTAAAATTAATATTTGTTATCTTCTAGTATGAAACAGGATATGCATATATATACTGTATATGTGTGTGTTCATATGCATATAAATATGCATACATAAATGCATGTTTATTTTTTCTTTTTATTTTAAACAGCAGCTTTTACAAATGCATACTTTATTGTACATCTTCAATACTTGCCTTGTATTTTGTATTTTTATTTTACCCTCCTTGTATCATACTGGAACACAGGATTCCCATTCACAACATCCCATCAATTTTTAATTGTATGGCCAGTAAATATTCTGTGCTTGCTTTTTAAAATTTTGTTTGCAGAAGTTTGGATTTTCCAGGTGTTTAATGAATTCAGTCGTGCGAGGGCACAGCTCCCTATGTACAGCTTGCTTTTGCTAATAAAATGGCTTGAATATCAAGCACTCAGCGTATGGGCACGTTCTACATAAAAGCACTCTGTAAAGATGAGTCTTAATTGTTTGCCAGGCTTAGCAATGAGAAAGTGAGGAGTAGATCAGGACTTGGGCTTTTCTATTTGATATTATTGAACCTCTTTTCCAGTTGCCTGTGGAATCTGTAAGAAGATTTGTGAAAGTAATACGTTTTTTTAGGTAGCTTCAATTTTATCTTCTTTTTTAGAGTTAAGTTTTAATATGGACCTGTGTGACAGTCACCCACTATGTTTCACATAGATGTTTTATTTTGTGACTGAAAACCACAGTTAAAAGAAAAGATGTCTCAAATGCTCTAAAACTAAAACAAAAAACCACTACTTGTTCTGGGTGGTCTTCTGTTGCTTCTTTCAAAATGGTTTGATGCTTCCGCCAAATTAACTTTCTCAGGACTTGAGCAATTCAAGTCTCACATATATTTGCAAGAAAACAAATGCCTGCGTGGGTCATACTGGTTTGCTTAGGGTCTGAAAAAAATCCATGTGGTGTGCTGCTTTCTGCATTCTATGAGATGGTCATAAAAAGGGTCTCAAAGAAAGCTCTACTGACTACTGACCTTTAAGTGCACCAACTGACGTTGCAAAAAACGATGCTGAATATCAAAATGAGTAGAAGTACTGTATTGGCAACACTTAGTAGGAAAGAGGTTAATATCATGTGTATTTTTCGTCTTGAAGCTTTAATCAAGATTAAAGTAGATAGCAAAACACTCCAAAGGGAGAATAGAAGTTTCTATATAATTCATTTTTGTCTTCTGTTTTTTCTTTAAACAGATACATAATGGTAGTCATTCAATAAGCATTGCATCCCATGTCAAATGATGTGTGGAAAAGTGTTTCATTGATGGTTTTTGTCAGATAACTGTGTTTAATATCTTGTCAAGGGTTTCTGTAACAGGGCTTGGTGAGATGCCCTTTGAGCCCAATAGACTGTATGTTCATGCCTTCGGTTCAGTAGATTTAACCCATTCTCGAGCGTCACCATCAATACCAAAGCTGGCCTTTTAAATGAAGAACAATAGTAAAAGATTATTGACCTGTAGGCACTCAGGGCACCAGGGAAGGTGTTGCGTTTCTAGCCCATGGAGCTACACTCCCTCGGAGATTGCCAGAGAGCACCCAAGCCCTTCAAGCCGGCGGCCATGTTGCTGAGAACAGCTCTGAGCCCCTACATGACTTGACGCTGCAGGTGGAGAGCTCAGTGCTCAAGAGCTACCCACTTCCTGCTCACACCGACAGAGGAGCACAGAGGCTGAAGGTGTCACTCGCTTGATGCGGCTGCTGCAACAGGAGACATTTCTGACATCCCATCCCTTTTCGAATCGAGGAGGACAATGAATTTGCACTGCACCGGTACCCTGGTATCTCTGGCCTCGGCTTTTCCAGTTGTAGGTAAGGAGAGACCTTTACTCTTTCAGGAGGCTGGACGAAGCCCATAATGTGTAACTCTTTCGGACTGAGACATTTACATGCAAGAAAATAGTTAATTCCACTGTGGGCTCAGTTGTATTCCCATCACAGCGTGGTTATTTACATTTCCTTTGTTATTTTTGAAATATATCATCATTCTATCGTTTATAACAATTCTGTCGTCTAACAAGCTCAGAAAAATGCAGTCCCCATCAGAAAAATAAGAACGTCACAGTCAGTGTGTGCCATTTTATACCCAGCTTCGTCGTTGAAAAAAAAAACATGGCTTCAAAAGCTGTAAAAGGTCATCATTTGTAAAAGTAACATTTATTTTAAGATTGCTGATATTGGTGGTTACATCTTTGAACAAGATGGCCATTTTCTTCTTATAAATCGATATATTTCGTAGCTTTATAGATGGGAAAGGGTGTTGGCCTTTCCTTGAATGTCAAGCTGCATTAAAAACAGGACCTACAAGCCTTATTTTCTAGTGATTATGTTTTAACTGTTTAATTCATTGTTTGAATTACAACCGTTGCTTCAGAAACATAGCGCTGACTATGCTCTTGGTGAATTTGGACATTCCTTCTTCCTAGGATTTAACTTGACTGTGTGTACCTGAAATGTATGAATTATTCTCTTTTTTTTTGGTCTTGTATACTGCGGATGCAGTAGTTTCAAAGGTTTAGGCCTTTGACTATATAATATCCAATCATATAATTCACATAACATGGATTTCGCTGCATAGCTGTATATCCCATAGGCCTGTAAATAGACAGAAAAGAGCCAGTCAACCTGTCCTGTGATGGTCAGCAGTAGAGACCAATCATTTTAATTTTAGACATTCTCCTGAAATTCCTGAACTTTTTAAAGAAACTGTTGGCCGTTGCAGTATTCTTATGTTTTACAGATGCTCAGTACTCATTTCTAACAACTTTACAGCATCAGAGATGATGGCTGAAAAGGAGGAACAAAAGTGTCAGTTTCTCAATTAAAATCTGAAGCAGATTCTATCGAAACAATAACTGTAGCACTACAGTATACGCTGATTTTTGCTGTTGTGGTACTGATTAATAGAACAATGAGTATTTTAAATGGTGACGGTTGAAAAGGTGAAAGAGAATCTGCTGTTTCCATATATCAGAAGCATTGACTGACATAGAAACTGCTTACTTTGTGTTCGTTTCCAATCAGGAATGCTTTTATGGAAGCCTTTTAAGTTTAAAACCTAGTGAAATGAAACAAGGAACCTCAGTAAGTAAATGCTTCCTCAGGCTAACTCTTTCTGAATCAAGACAGACCGTGAATGTCCGCCCAGCTCCAGAATGCAGTAAGAAAAGTTTTTTCTGTTGTTTTTCGGTTTGGTTTAAAATGGATGGCAGCTTGAGCTGGGAAAGACAGAATCCTTTAAATTGTAAATTGCAGTGAAAGTGTAAAATTAATCATTTGTAACGATACAATTGTCCTTTTTTTTTTTACCTTGCAGGCAAGACAGTCCAATCTATGTTAAAAGAATGAATTGTGAATCTGTTCAAAGTTTGTCACAGGAGGAAAGTGGTTCTGATTATTTCGGCACAAACCCAGTCTGCTGCAGATGCAATACAAGGAATTAATACATTATGAGATCATAGTTGTCACATTCATGTATTATCCTATTCTGTGACATTTGTCCGGATTATTTTATAGAAATCGGGACATTAAAAACATTTTAAATCTCAACCTCCTGCCTTCTAAAAATAATTCGATGGTCATCCTGTCTTTGCACTGAAACAAAAATAAAACTGAGACACCTCTCTCGAGGCGTATTTTATTAAATATTTGAATTTTTCCGTGAGCAGCAACTTGGTCATTATTTTTCTTTTGTTTTGTTTAAACCATCACCGCACAGGTTACTGGAATATGTGTGTGTACTTGTGTGACTTATGTATGCAGATTTGTAAGATGGCCTTTTCACTTTACAATTCAGTCTGTGAGAGAGTTGGGGAGAGTTATTCTAGTCAAGGAACAGCAGTTATAATTCCCCAACTTGTGAACGAATCCCAAAAGATGAATCAATGATAGGGGGAAAAAAATGTTCGCTAGATCCGTGATAGATCCGAGCTTAATTGTGATTGAAACAATAGGCAACAACTTCGAAGATCAATAAAATAGAATCGAAATGTTTCATTATAGACTGTATAGTGAAACATTGTCTTGCATTATGTGTTCAGGAAATGTCTGGGTAACAAAGAGTTTTTTTATTATTTTACATTTTTAATTAAGAACTGTTAGGAGCTGGACGCGATGCTAGTTTGTTAATGAGTTTGAGTGGGTTAAACCACATCTGTAACTTATCTCAAAAGACATTGATTAATCAGCTCAGGACCAAGGCTGAGGCTAAGAGTAGCCACAGTGCCCGTCTTAATAGCTGCTCTTGCTTCTATGTTTATGGCTAGAACTCTTCACTCGGATTGTTTCGGATTGAGCCTGTTTGTTTTCCGAGTTCCACATTTTGCAGAAAAGAACATCAGCTAGAAATGAACAGTCAATTAAAGCTCTGTGCGGAATTCCTAATTCAAAAAGTAACTAAAATATTTTTAGATCAGAAATCCATCAATTCATAGATGCAAATGTAAGATTCCTAGGGTGATTATAATCAATGCTAATTGAATTCACATGCTGTAGATAAGGGAAAGGGCGATTCTTAAACACTGAACCAGAGGGCTACCACGTGATGGAATTTTTCAGCATTGTCTAGACACTCCTTTTCAAGACCTGTAACAAAAACAATGTCTTCTCCGTAAACACTGAAGTATCCACACAGCCTGCTTGTTTATTGTGAATGGCTTAGTCTCGACAATCGTGTGACCTGGAAAATGTGTAGGATAGCCAGGCCCTGATGGGCGTGAGAAACTTTCGAGTGCACAGTTAAAGTTTCCACTTGCAGATTGTGACCCCAGACCCCAGAGGACACTAGAGTCTCTGTCCACGGTTCTCTAGAACCTGCTGTTATATGGCCTTGCTGTCCAAGAGAAACCGAGACGCCGAGCAGAACAGCAGCAAAAACAAAATGGTCCTTCAAGCCCAGATCGAAAAGAAATCAAACTCAGGTTATGTGTCTGTATTCATTCTGTGAGTTTACCAAGTTTCTTGGTTCATGCATTCGCCAGTCAGTTCTTAAGGATACTTCTCAGATGAGCACTCTATCCATTTCTTGGCTGCTGTAATCATTTTACATAACCAAGCGCCACTTCATTTAAATGTCAGCCATCAGTGGAATGGACAAAAGGGATCCGTAACAGAGTAATTTCACGTTTTCCAGTCAGCTCCTGGATTACCTGGTGTTCTTAGAGGTGTTCTGGTATTAACAACTCAGGTATGCATTGCTTTATAAAATATCGATGGCGCTGCAGAAGGCTGTTTAGGTCCCCTTAGGACAAGAAAGTTGCACACTGACATAACATTTTAAAGAAAGATTGATTTTACAAATGAATTATACTTTTTTTTTTCTGGTCCAGAAAGCAATGTTAAAAAAACGATGGTATGCACAGAAAATTCCTGAATTTTGACACCTATACTGCAATGGTTCATTAATTTGTCTTCATTATGCATTTACTGCTCAGATTTCAAGGCGCGATTTACTTTCACTGTCTGCCGATGACCCATACAATCAGAATGTTTCGATACAGTTCCCAGGGGGCTGCTGTTGACTGCTGCAGCCTAATGCATTTCCTGTACTGTTCTCCAGCTCTTCTGTCCTCTTGTGTTCCTCCGGTGTCCAGGTTGCATTTGGACCTCTGTCCTTTATCGCAACAGTATTCCATAAGACCACACACTAACGCAAGGGACAGAGGCAGACCTGTCTGCCACGCATAATCTAAAAGAAATCACCTTTTCTAAAAAACACAATACAGCTAATTGGGTTGCAGGGGGCCAGGGAATATAACCTGTGTCTGTACAGGCAAGGAAGAGATTTCCAGTTTGGAAATGTTCGGGCCTGTTCCACCTCATACTGAGTGCAAAACGTCCCAACGTTTGACATTGCATTATGGAACCAGAGAGCCAGAAAGCCACTCCATTTAGCTGTTGATGGGATTATGAGCGAGATTTTCCAAAAGCAGACATGAATTTGAAGCATTTGCTGTCCCTGTCCTCGTGGAGCTCCACTCCACTGTGCTCAGGCTTCCGAGCTGCAACTATATTGTAATTTCACCTGCTTCTCTTTTAATTTCACCAAGCTAATTACCATGCAGCATAAACACAGAGACCTACATCAGAAGACGTCCCTAGGAATCATGAATGTAAATGGTCTCTTTATTCACAAATGCAGCTGCTGAATGCATCGTATTTCAACTATTTCAGCTTAGGAAATTGTTATACATTCATCTACATCTAGATTTAGTTCCACCACAGCTGTGTTCCCTTCCCCCTTTATAATAGCTGTAAGTTATTGCCTTATAAGGAATATATATAGGCGTGTAATATATATGTATATAGGTGTGTTTTCACAACTACTGTGTCGATGAACATCCATTTCCTTCCCAAAGAAAAAAAACTAAAACTAGTAGGACCTTTCATTAAGACTGAGCCACTCAGCCTTTTCATTTTCCCCACTGTTTATCCCACGCTGCAGAGCACGCATACAGGAGCTTGTGGAATGGGCAAAAGAAATCATTTAGTGTGTCAAATGGCTATGCTTTGAAAACGTTTTTTTTTTTTTTCGAGATAGACGTACATGCCAAATGACTGACAGAAGATGTTCTTTGAGAAGATATTTTTCGGTCAGCAAGGTACTGGGGACCCTGACATGACAGGTTAAGATAGCAGCCATCGGGGATCGCTTACATTCAAAAGCAGAAGACACAAGTTCTCAAATAGGCAAAAGATCTTAAATCAAATATCCTCACATCAAACAGCAGCACATTCTCATGAAGACCTAGAGGTTTAGAGTGGAGTACCGCATGACAGAGGCCTTTATTACAGGTGTCATAATATTAAAAGCA